CATGACCAAACTCCTCCTCTTATTGCTGCTTCACATGCCTCATCACCAGATTCACTTGATAAAATGTGGAACTCTAGAGAATGTGTGGGTAAGTTATGCATACTCCAAACTATTGCATGGTTTTAATACAATAATATTGCTAGATAGATTTGAGTTTTAAACAAGATTAGGGTAAGTTATGTGTATATATCTATGTATATAGAGTGACTAAAAATAAGTTTGAAAGGATTGCAGATCTGTACTGGCATGCACTCCTCAATAAGTGGGATAAAATGCTACCCATTGTAAAAAAAGATCCAAATAGTGTACGCATTCAATTGAATAGATTAAGCGACAGAGCTCTTCATGTAGCAGCAAGTGCGGGGAGCACTGCTTTTGTTGAAGAGTTGATTAAATTTATGAGGCCAGAAGATGTGCTAATACATAACTCAGATGAGATGCTTCCAGTTCACTTGGCTGCTTTATCTTTCCATCACAGAATAGTACAACTTCTATGCTCTCACCATCTGCTTGACAAAATGGCTTACAAGGATATTGAAAAACTCTTTTTTATGACCATTAGTAACAACATGTTTGGTAAGTGCATCTATAACTAATTAAACACCCTTCTTTATCCCTTTTTAAAGCTATTTGTAGTACTTGTCATGTTTTACTAATAAGCCAACTCGACCAATTCAACTGATATGATCAAATATCTTCTGTTAAATTCACTATAACTCAATGACAAATTTAATGATCTGTTCAAATTATTTTGATACAAACCCAGATCAGATTCAATACATAATTTTCAATTTGGTAGCAGTTTTTCTTTACTTTATTCGAAAATTTATACTCCTAATTAATGCATCAAAATACTTTTCTCCACCCTTTTGTCTTCATCAAATAAAGTTTCATTATCAACACACATATTATAGCTTTTCTAATGTTTATAATTTTTCTTAGCTTTTCACTTGAACTCCCTTTTTGAAATATGAGACTTCATGAATTGAAGAAGTCGGTAAATAAGTTGGAGTAGAAAATTCATTTAGTATCTACAACTTGTTGCTTTGTCTAAGATAACAACTTATTGATCACTCTATTTAAAAGAATCATAAGTGCCTTTTTTTCCTCCCAATTGCATATCCCATGGCAGTGTTTACATCTCTATATTTACAATAATTTTCCCATTGATTGAATTATGTTCTAACTTTTTAAACTGACATAACCAATGAGCTCTTGCTTCTTGCATACATGTAAAGGATATATGCTTCACACAACTGAATAGGATATCTTAACTAACTTCATATCTCTCAATTCTCATAATTTAAACTTTTTTTTATCACAAATGTTAGATGTTGGTATTTTGTTAGAACTTAAACTCTAATACCACTTTATCATCATACATATTTGTTGTCATTTAACAAATCAACCGTGATGTTAATGTTGTAGAAAAGCTAACACAACACGAACACAAATTTTTAAGGCGTGTAGATCACTGTCCTTAAAGACTTATCCGCAGTGTGTTACGCAAGCTTCCCGAATAGAATAGGAACTTCTCATAAATTTATGAGGATATCAGAACTAGCAAATAATTCTAAAAAGATTAAAAGAATAAACCCCAAATTTTATATGAAAGAAGAGAGAGAATGGAGAAATTAAGAAAAGAGAATGAGAGAAGTGTTGTCTTTTGGAATGAACCCAAAGACTCTATTTATAAAGTGGAGAAACAAGTAAAGTCAGTCCAAGTCCATTGCTACTGGGAAGAATCCCGCGTTAGCTTATGAAAATAGTTTCAACCAACAATATTAGAAGGTTTAAAGAATAATTCTGATCTCAAAGAGTACTGTACCATATATATACATACAATGATTCTATAATTCTTCATCTATTAAAAAAATGACATTTGTCCAAATTATAATAATATCTAAATTATAACTAACACAATATTTGATTGTCTAATATTTATTAACACAATATTTGATTGTCTAATATTTGTTAATAAAATATTTGACACATCTTAACAAGACATTGGAAGGTGACTTGCATATGAATATGCGGAGACTTATGGACTAATATGGAAAATAACATTCATCAACCATGCTTCATTCGCAATATACAAGCTAGTTTTACAACAGTTAATAACCCATCAAATGCTTAATATATATAATTCCACTAGAGAATACCCTTACTAACTCATCTTTTCATTTTCTGGCAACCCTCCTTTTGTAATTACTATTTCAAACAATACATGTTCATCATCGCTATTTACCTTGCCTTCTGCATATGCAATACATCATGGTTATTTAATTTGTGCATTTCACAGATGTGGCCATTACATTATTTGAAAAACATCCACTTGCTTTGACCCGTGCAAGAGATAAAGAGGAGCTAACATCATCATTGCATATGCTGGCGCGAAAGCCTTATGAAGTTCTAGGTAAGCTTCATTATCTTGGTTGTTAATTTAGAAATTTAAGCATCTATATATCTTTAAATAAGAATTACTTCTTAATGGTCAATAGTGAGTGTTATAATTGTAATATACTTATTAAGTTATCAGTCTCATGATACAAAGTTATAGCAACTGACAAACAAATATTTAACTTTCAATTTTAAGTAAGGAGTATAGAACTTTCTAAATAGAAATAAAACAAAGAAAAGGTGCTTAATATAAGATCAACATTTAATTTGACTTTCTTTTTTTCTTATTTCTTTTCGTGTTAATCATTTCTCGGACCAATCTAGACAAAGAATTACAGGGCGACAGAGGATTAATAGGAACGGGTATGCGATTGCTGTATAGGATAGTGGATGAAGTCAAAAAACTGAAAATCAAAAACATGTTGGCGTTGACTACTGAACCATCCGCAGTGTTGTTTGATGCTCTGGAATCAAGAAACGGTGACTCAGTAATATGGTGTTTTATGGGGAGTTCTTCATTACTCATGACCTTTAAGGACTCTAATGGACGGAACCTAGTACACTTGTTTTTTCTATATCGACGTTTGGACTTCTTTGAACAATTTCTAAATGAGAGAAAACAGTTTTACTAACAGCCGTGGACAATGAGGGTAACAACGTTCTACACCTAGCTGCGCTTTTGGCCCCTCAATTCAAATCATTCTCAGGTTTAAGTGCAAAATTTCAAATGGACAAAGAGCTCTCTTGGTTCAAGGTCAATTTATTCATTTCCTTATTCCTTATTCGATCGTTCTTTATTAATTAGTATTGTATGACATCAGTTCCAGAAATCTTGACACATACTTGTGGTTGATAAATAGGATGCGGAGAGAAGAGTTCCTCCTGGATTAAAGAGTATGAAAAACAAGAAGGGGAAGACACCAGTTGATGTATTTTTTGATGAACACAACCAGTTATCCAAAGATATCAAAGAATCTGCTAAAGGAATAGCGAATTCTGGAATGGTTGTGGCAACGCTTGTTGCTACTGTAGCATTTGCAGCTGCTCTCACTGTTCCAGGTGACAAGAACAATGTCTGGTTCATAGTATTCATCGTCACAAATGCAATCGCATTGTTCACTTCTTCTGCGTCCATACTCTCTTTCTTGACAAATTTCATTTCTTCAAGATTCGCAGACACTGAATTTGTTATATCAGTACATCCCAGCTTGTATTATGGCCTTCAGTTACTAATGATCTCCGTTTCTACTTTGGTTTATGCTTTCATTGCAACATCCTTTCTGATATTTGATCACACAACAAAATGGGTTTCTTATGCAGTGACTCCAATGGGGTTTTCCCCATTGCTTGTGTTTATTCTCTTCCAGTCTAAGTTCTGGGATGACTCCTATTGGTCTAAATACTATCGTCCTGATCCCAAACTTGGGCGCGAAACTTAATACTCACTCACCTACGTTAGCATCATTAAGTGTCTTATCCTTTTATTCTTTATTGTGATATTGTAATTTTAGTTTTAATTGAAAAACATTTTCGATCAAGATTTCTTCGTGTCTTTTCAATATTAAAATTTTCTCTAAGATTCTATTTTCAAGCACATTTTTCTCATTTATCTCATCTTACTAATTATTTCTTTTATTCTATAATAGTAATATTTAATGGTCTGAGATGCTTTCATTCTAATTAATTTAAACTCTTGTCTTAGATAATGAAGTTTAATATTGCGTATCCATCACTTCCTTGAAACTCCTATTCTATTGTGTTCCTAGATTGCTTTGAACTTGTGATAGTATTTTGAAGTTGTGAAAGAGACAATTGATAGATAAGATAATATGGAGAGTAGTAAAATGGGAAAG